TATCTATTCACGCTGACTTCTTCCTCCTTAAAACTCCCTTCAATCTGACATAACTCTGCTAATTTTCCGTCTCTCTGGCTATTCATTCTCAGACAACCTTCACAACAGGCTCCTCATCCTCTATCTGCCTCTCACATGCAGTTTTCTTTAGAATTTGCCTCTTCACTTCTCATTTTAAATTCCTTCTATACAGGATTTCATCCAGTTTCATGGCTTCAACTACTACATAATACAAATACACAGATAATGCTCACATCTTTCATTCAAGCCCAGATCTCTCTTCTGAGCTCCACATAGTCATACAGATAGCCAATTTCCTGTTGGCCATAACCACCCAGATGACCCGTGACTACTATCAACATGTCCAAATAAGAAATCCTCATCACTCCCTCAAATTTCTCTCCCCTATACTTCCTGGGAGAATATGCATTTCTAACAGGTCCCAGATGATGCTAGCCCAAGATCCACATTTTGAGAATCACTGCTCAAACATATGTGTCTCTTCCTACCTCCAGGCTATCAAGTTCCTTCTGCTTTCTCCCCTAGGCCATGATACCTGTGTAGCATGCACTGTTAATATTCCTATTGAACTCAGAATCTTGCAACATAGCATTCCAAGCATTAACTACCAAATGATAAGAGATGACTAGAAATAAAACAATGGTCATCCCAGCAAACTGGAAGTTTCTTAACAGGAATTATTTTCCCCATGTATCCTTAGAACCAAATCTTACCCAAATAAGGAGTAGATAGCATTATCATCTATCCAGTCACCAAAGCCAAAAAACAAAGCAAAATTCAACATCCTTTTTCTTCCCCATATTCCTAATCACCAAGTCCTCTCTTCTATCTCCTAAATATAACTCATATCCGGTCCGTCCTCTCCATCTGCTCTTACTTCTCACATGTAATTATTTCTTAAATGATCCCCATATCTATATTCACCTATATCTAGATTTGCCTATCCTATTTTACTACCCACATGGCTATCAGACTGATCTCTTTGAAAAAGTAAATAATACATCGTCATTCTCCTGCTTTAAAATAATAGCTTCTCACTACTTTTAGGGAAAAAACTTTAACTCCTTCATATGATATGCAAGCCCTCCTATTATCTAGCCTCAATCTACCTGACATTTTCTCCCTTCCATCCTACCCCTCAACTCTCCAGCCATGCTGAACTAATACTTTAGTCCTCTGAATGGCTTGTACAGCTCATTCTATGACTTCAACCATAAGCTCTCTACCTGGAGTGCCTTTCCCACTGTTAAATACTCATCCTTTTAAGACTCAGCTCAAGCACCATCTCTTCCAGGAAGCTTTCTTTGAGTGACATTCATCCCCTACTCTCATCCAAGTTTGGATTAAGCCTCTTCCGTGACATGCTCTTAGAGCACCCTATGCTTACTTTGTTAGTAGTACACATCACACTGCATAATCACTGCCTTATTTACCCCATCTGATTAAGTCATTGGAGAGAAAAATCATATACTATGTTTATATAGTTAGTGTTAGGTATACTAAGACACGTTACTAAAATTTAAATAAATATATTCCTTGCTATTCTCTAAACAGTGGTTCTCAAAATTTAGCATACATCACAATCACCTGGAAGACCTATAAAACCCTGGATTATCTCCAGAGTTTTGGATTCAATTGTTCCAGGGTGGGGCCCAACAAGTTTCCAGATGATGCTGTTGCTACTGGCCCAGGAACCACATTCTGAGAATCAGTGCTGCAAACATACATTGTCTCCTCCTCTCTTCAGGATTTAAAGTATCGTCTAGATGCCTCCAATCTGCCTAGTGCAATCCTAATAATCTTTTTAGACCCAGCTCAATTGTCACCTCCTTCATAAAACTTTCCGTAATACCAGTTGAAAAAAAATTTTTTCACATCAGATGGGTAATGTGCCAACATCCTAACGAGGTTTAAAGGGACGCAAATCTCACAGAACAGCGTGAAAACCCAATCACTACACTTATGAACCAAAAAAGGATCCCCAGATGAAACTGATCTTGATCTTTCCTCCATTTCTATAAGGCTTTGTGTACATTATTCATATAATATTCATTACATGCTAACTTATTTCAGCACTGTCATTTGTATTATGTTCTCTACTTAAATGAAAATAGAAAACCTGCCTTAATCATTTTAATATCCTCCACAAAAGAGAGGACAGTAACCAGTGAATGAAGGACAAAATCTACAAGTATTTGTTGATATGAATGAATCCCTGTCACTTGCTCCAGACTCTGGGCCCATTGTCTATCTGACTTACTCATCTTCCTGGCCCAACCTGACTTCCTATATTGCCTCACTACCTATGACAGATGCCTGATTCTTCCAGACTGGTCTTTTCCTCTCATTGCTGGCTGACCCTTAGCTTCTTCACCTTGCACCCCAAGCCACTTTAATTTTCTCATCCATTATGGGACATAATGAGTAGAGAAATTTTGTCCTCATGACTGATACAGATTTTAATTTTGCTGTTTGTTTTCTTAAAAAAATAAACAAAAGTAGCCTTTCTTTGTCACAGAGTCTGTACTAGAATATGTTGTGTACAACTCTAAATGTGGTCACATAGACAGCAATATATTTGTTTTAAGTTCTAGTTACAGATCGTGGAGATAAAGACAACTTTAAAAACTTAAAAAGCATAAAGACATAAAAAGGTCCTTTATGAGATTTAAGGTTGCCTTAGGAAACAAAACTTAATAGATAATCACCTTTACACTATATTCATGTAAGTATCCAGAATAAAATCCATATTATCTATTCCAACAAAAAGAGATACAAAAAACCTGGTTCAAGGGAAAACCTAGGAGCTCAGTACCCACAAATTTTTACATACATATACATAATCTCCAACCCCCTAGATGCTCAACAGCTTAAAACTCAAATAGGATGAAGGGAGAGAAAGGCAACTCTCAGGGAAAAAAAGCAGTAAACTACTTTTAAGACAGTAACTAAAATTAGTATCAAGGATCTGAAAAGATTCTTAAAAGATTCAATTAAATTTTACAAGTCCTTTTACTTTATCCTTACTTGAATTAATCAGTAAAAATCATAAATAATGTAAAATCTGTTGACAAAAATGTAAATATGTTCATGACAGAGTTATAACAGAAATTTTCCAAAGGGAGTGAAAATTGTCAGAATTACATGTTCAATTAACTAGAAAAATTAACCAGATCATGCCAAAGCCTGATTTGAGTTAATCAATATCCCAAATTGCAAAGTTGAATTATAGGTATGGTCTTCATACTTACAAACCAGTGCTATATTCAGCAGACCAAAATAACCCTAAAGTTGGGAAGCCACTATTACCATGAATTATGTAGGTCCTCAAATGGTATGGGAGGAGATGTAAGAGAAAAGACTCAAGGGTGAATCAGAAAATAAATACTGAAAAGGAAACTGGAAAAAAAAAAAGGAAAATGATGACCTAGAGAGAACAATATTGTACGACATATCTTAAAATATTTTTAAAGACAAGGAATATGAGCTCCAGGAAGATAAGAAATTTAAGAGCTACAGGAAGATTTCTCAAACTCAGTTTGTTCAAAAAAAAAAAAAAAAAAAAAAAAAAAAGGGCATGGGGTGCAGCACAAGGGGGGGAACTATTTGTAAACCAGATCACTATGCTATATAATATATATAACAATAAAGGCTAGATCACTGTTTCTGAAAATGTACTGTTTATAAATATAAGTTAAAAAATTCCCTGTACTGACAAGATCTTCAAGTTCCTGACCTTCAAGTAACTTACATGCACACGGAAGTTCTACTAAAGCCCTAAGGCGCAATGTCTAACTTCAAGAGTCGCTAACAAAAACACTGTTCTGTGAATGGCTCCTTCTTTCTAAATTGTTTTCTGTAATAGTCTGGAAAAGCTTAAGTTTTGTGACTTTGGGCCAAAATTGTCTCTGAGCTACCTCCCAAGTTGTCAGGGAAAAACTTCTCCACACATCAAAATCAGGAATCATTTATTAAGTCTGCTCCTAATCTGGATTTCAAGTACACCAATAAGCACACTTACTCATCTGCCCAAAACGATACTTCAAAAAGTTCGTAGAAAAATAGAATTAAAGATAATGAGAATTTTTCCAGGAACTTTTTGAAGTATCCCCACATTTTAAATAAAGGCTGACTTACTCAAATATTTTAATTTAATTTTCTTCCCTCACAACTACCCCCAAACTGATTTTAAATTGCAATCAACAGGACTTCTCTCTTCACTAACCCAACACATATTTTGAAATACTTAATTAAATTCTACAGACAGGGTGGAATATCACACAATTAAAAGGTGCAAGAAATGACCCAACGTCAAAAAATCAGCCTAAAAATCTTGACAACTGTTCAAAAGCTGTTAAGAGAAAGTGTTAACAACCGAACCACAAGTTCTAATATCTGATACGTATGGAAAAGCACTGCTAACTTCTACTATGTACACAATTCTTGATTACAAAGAGGAAACTGCAAGGGCTAGCCGGAGCGAGAGAACCGGTAACAGGCTAAAAGGGCGTCGTTGATTTCTTGGCTACAGTGACAGAGGCGGGAGACACACCCCTAGCGTCGGTCTGAAACACTACAGCAGTGAGTTCTACCTAGGGATTAATGTGAGGGTAAGGAAAAGACAAATTTAAATCGCCATGATTCAAAACAACCATCCCAAGTCAGAGAGAAACACGCAAAGGTAACAAAGAAAATGAAAAACCCTCGGTGGTAAGGAAGCGCTACAAAAACAAGTATCCCCATTTCCCCACGACCAAGTTACGCTTTGTTTTTACCGACTATACACCTGGGACCTTTCCGGTTCGCCAGTGCAGAGAGAAAAGCAGCAGCCAAAGAAACCCCATAAGGTTGCAAACAGCAGCGAAATACAGACTAACAGGAGAGGGGGGAAGTAAGTGGCAGGATTCCAGCCAAGACTCAGCTTGAATATGGGGAGTGAGTGGGAGAAAGAGCAGCTCTGGAGAGAAAGTGGGTCTTACATAAAGCGCCATTTGCCACATGTTATTATTTCCATAGGATTTCAGGATATCCTCGAACTTGCGAAAGTGAGTCTGGGGGTGAAAGGGGGACTCCACGTGGACGAGGGTCGGGAAAGACATAACGCGAGCGACAAGGGGACAGTGCCAGGCTGACGGCGGTGGGGGGAGAAGGGGGACGAGGCAGGGGCTGAATCCCGGCGGGGGGGGGGCGGCGAGGGGCGCCCCGCAGAGGC